ATTCAGCTTCAGTACAAGATCAACTCATGCTAAGAGATGCTACTCTAGCTAAGTTGAAGAGAAATTTACAAAGAGCTCAGCAAGTGATGAAGAAATATGCAAATGATGAGAGACTTCCTAAGGAATTTGTTGTTGGTGATATGGCTCTAGTGAAGCTTCAACTTTATAGGTAACACATTGTTGCTTTGAGGAAGAATTAGAAGCTAAGTTTAAGGTACTTTGGGCTTTTTCCCGTGATTGAAAGAATTGGTGTTAGTGCATATAAGTTATTATTGTCTCCCTTGACCAAGATTCACCCTGTGTTTCATGCCTCAACTCAAACTTTGCCATGGAAATCACAATCAGCCTTACGTTCCTTTACCATTCACTATTAATGAGCAATTACCAGTTATTCAGCTAATAGCCATCTTGAAGGATCTCGTTATTAATAAATCCATATTTTACTACATTTTTAGTATAGTTTTTGTTAATAAATAAGTAGTAAAGTACCAAATAAACTTGAAAATGGCATAAAAATTGCATTAATATTCATAATTATGTAAATAGTTTAGAATTTTAGATTTTATTCCAATTCTGAATAATTTGACATAAAAAGACTTAATTTTTGTGCAGAAGCTTGAGCTGAGACTTTGAAGTTGATATTGAAGTGGAAAAAGGTGAAAGGATTGAGCTTAAAGAGCAAGAATCAGATGATAAGTGCTGGGTGTAACCACTTTGTGTAACAGCCCAACAACTTATTTGGGACTGACGACTGTTCTCACAAACCAACACGAGATTTTCAACATATTTTGTTCCTTAACTGTATACACAGTCTCTGAATTCCTCTCATTCCGATGTAAGTTCAATTCATTCATGTGCCATTTACCACCGGAAGCCTGCCAGAACTTATTTGGGACTGACGACTGTCCCTACAAACCAACACGAGACTTTTCAGCATGTTTTGTCCTCACTTACACATTTCCTGGGAACTTTCCAAAAGGTCACTCATCCCATAATTGCTCCAAGTTAAGCATGCTTAACTTTGGAGTTCTTAAGTGATAAGTCATTGAAAAGTAAATGCATTTTGTTAGTATAGGTAGTCCTAATCAATTCCTTTAAGCTATCCTTAACTGTATACATAGTCTCTGGATTCCTCTCATTCCGATGTAAGTTCAATTCATTCATGTGCCCTTTACCGCCGAAAGCCTGTCAGGAGTCGCTCCTTGTCCGTGTCACATATTGCACCAACAATCACTCCCCACCCTCGCCTAGCGCTTGTGTGTCACACTTTGAGTGCATAGAATTAACACTTTAAAGAAGAAAATCCATAAAGATCAAGTGAGTAGCAACTCTAAGTGTTGAAAGTAAACACTCCAGCAACAGAAATCTTGAAGAGTCTTGTGTGTGGACACTCTAGTCACTGAGAGTAGCCACACCTAAGGCTAATTTACTCTGACACTTTGAGACTTTAAATGTGGACACTCTGGTTACTGAAAGTAGCCACTCAAGTTGTGCGTGTACACTCTACCTACTTAAAGTAGCCACGCACAAGCCTTACTTACGCAGAACACATGCGCATGGACACTCTTACTCCTGAAAGTGTCTATGTAAAATAACAGAATTTTGAAAATTACTTTTAAGTGTCGATTTTGGACGATTTGAGTTCTTACCTCAGCTATAGAAACTTCTAGAAGACCTTTCACGTTATAATTCTCAGAGATTAAAGTGTATAAGTGAAAAAGGCAGAAAAAATATTATAAATAGAAGTTAAGAGTTCAAATTTGGAGACTTTTGATCATTTTGTCATTTTTTCACTTTGTAATTGTTTTAACTTCCAAGAAAAGTCAGAGAGAAATTGAGAGCGGCTTTCAAACTTCATTGTTGGAGGAATCAGTATAAAGATTGGGTCTTCAAAGATGTTCTTCTGCTCCTTGTCTTCTTCTTCTCTTACTTCTCCTTTTTTCATTGTAATGTTGTTCTAAACCTTTTTGGTTAGGGATCTATGGATCCAGATTTGATATTGTGATGTAAATGCGGATCTGGACCTTGAGATTTTAAGTGAATTGAGTATGTTATTCTATTCTTAATGCAGTTCTGAATTAATCCTTCATTCAATTGAATTTAGAAGAATCTTCATCAATAAAAATTGAGTTTATTTCTCAAATCTGAATCATATGCCTAGGTTATTGGGATCTCAGGAATAAGTATCATAATTTAGTAATCTTATAATTTCTATAACTTAATGCAGTATTTGATTAAATTTCACGTAAAGAATTAGAAAAGTTTAATTAGGTATTAGGATCAATGAGACAAATAATTGTCCTTTAGTTAAAAAAGTGAAATTGATTATCAATCAATTAAAATTCTTAAGTGTCTAGAACATGATTAAATTACAATTGAAAATCTGGTAAAGTGATTTCTAACTATTTTCCACATAATATTTTCAATATAAAATTCATATTCTATTTTACAGCATTTTATTACCTTGTATTGTTCTTATTTCTCATTTTTTACATATTACAAATCTTTCAAATGAATTGTGTGGCTCAACTAATTATCAATTTGTGAAGTGTTAATTGAAAATAAGATCCTTGTGAATGATACTTGAGACTCATATTGATTTTCAAAATTTTATTACTTGCTACAACTACCTAGTATACTTGCTAGTTAGTAATTTAACACAAAGAATATTGTTGTATTCTGATTGCGTAACAGTTATTCTCAAGGGACAAAAGCAAGGTAAGCAGTTGTTAATTCAATGGGAATGACTTGATGAGTCTCAAGCCACATGGGAAGATAAGGACGCAATTGAAACAACATATATATCGTTAAATCTTAAGGACAAGGTTGTTTTCAAAAGGAGAGGAATTGTAATGAATGAAAATGATGAGGGACCCGTATTAGTGGCTGCTAAGCAAGGAATGGGATCTGGACACGTGGCACGCAATCATCAAAAGGCTGAGCGCAAAAGAAGCACACACATAAAGGTCACTAGCTCAAGGTAGCTTGAATTTGAATGCTAAAGGATGTATTATAAATATTTTGTTAGAGGAAAGAGAAAGGTATGGAATGAATGAGTCTGTTTTTTCTCTCTCTCGAATCTATTTCGCTTTTAGAGAATATTCTTTCAGTTATCTTATTTTTTTCCTTTATTGTCATTACTATTTTCATGTACGACTCCATAGCAATATTAATTTAAGCATTTAGAATACCAGTTCAATTGATTGTCTTCTTTCTTACGTCACTTACTTCATTCATATACTTTTTTATATTCGTACACGTAACACAAAGTTTTAGATTCGAGTCCTTGTGTATATCACATTGATCCAGGTTGGATTCAGATTAAACTAAATAAAAAAATAGAAGAAATAAAAAATAATGTATTTTTAATTTTTGAAAAGAAAAAATTCTTTTGAAATTGGAAACCAATCTACCAATGACGAATTTTCATCTAAACAGTGTCATTGATTGTTCCTCAATAATTTTTCATCTTTATTTTATTCAAACAGAACATATCTAGTCTTGAATTCTAACGCCGTAACTTCGCGTTCACATCTTATAAACTATTTATTTATTTATTTATTTTTGTAACAGTCTCATAATTATTTTGTTCAGCGTTGAAATTGAAAACTATTAAGAAATTATAATGAAGAAACAAACATGCTCTTAAAAATCAATTTTGTTTGGATTATATAGCTATTATTAGCGATGATAAAATCATCTTAACTCACAGATATTCAAAGGTAAAAATCTGTTATAAGTAAAAACTTTCGTATCCGGAAGTTCTTGCAGGTTTGATTAAACGAATTTTTTACTCGCTTATGAATGAGATGGGAGCAGGTATTAAAGGACTTGTATTCACATAATAATAATAATAATTCTGCATTCACCGTCATCTAATCTAGCGTCAGTCTTATCCCTCTCCGTCTTTTTATTTTTCAGCGAATGATTAGCTACGCTGTGACCAGTGACCACTAAGCACTAACCATGCAAAGTGTTCTTTAATGGAAATTAGTAAACCTGAGTTAAAAGAGAGAATATTCTCATGCGAGACTGCTACATTTATTAAGAGAAATGTTATTTTTATATATATAAAAAAAGGTTATATCTTTTTCATAAATTAGAAAGATAAAAAGAGAAGAGAAAACCAAATGATTATACGGGTGATTTGTGTTAATTATTTACGTTGATAATAATAATAAGTCATCAATTTTCAAGTAATAAAGAATTAATAAACAGTATTTTTTATTAAAAGTTATAGTATTAATATATTAAAATTTATAATTTTTAACAAAATTTTATTATATTAAATTTTGTTATATGTGATTGGACACATGTTAAAAAAACTAAGCAGGATCCGCAGCCTACGTTTGACTGAAGTTATTTATATATATAACTTGTCTATAGGATCCGAGGCAACCATTGAAAGGAGGAGGAGATTGTCAGAAATTGAAACAGTAAAAGGAGTACTCTTCTTCTTCTTCTTCAGGTAAACTTCATCTCAATTCCTTCTCATATACTGTGTTTTTATCTTACTAGAAATTCAATTGGGCAACTTCATATTAGCAACTCTATATAAGTCAAATGCTTGAGTTGAAAGTTAAAAAGCCAAAAAAAAGCAAAGATGAGTATATAAACCTTGGCGCGCGTCATAGCCTCTATCTTCCAATTTCCAAGTTCGCAAAGCATGTACCTGTTTTTAATCTCGCGCATTTACGTACGGATAATTCAAAAAATCATGTTTGATACCTGTATTACATACACAAAAATTAGTCTCAAGTAAAATTAGTGGTTACTAATTACTGTAAGAAATGAAAATAACATTACTTCAGTTATTGTTAGATTCTATATATCTGAATAATCAAAATTAAAAAAATACAATTTTTTTAAATAGTCATGTCTACTTACAATTAAAGGTAAATCTAGGATCAATTCTAAACAGCAAAGTAGTTTTTTTGGCATTGAATTATCTGTTTAATGAAATCTATCTTTAAGTTATTTTAATTTGGATAGGATATTTTTTCTTTCAAAGGTATGTATGATACTTGTTGCATATAAGATGCTTTCAAATTGTAGGTAGTTACTGGCTAGTAGAGCATTTGAAAAAATGGATTTTGGGAGTTCTATTGTTGTGCCATCAGTTCAAGAGTTGGCAAAGGAAAATTTGGCAGATGTTCCACCCAGATACCTTCGTCCTGATCAACAAGAGTTGATCATCTCTCAAGTTGATGGTTCGCTAGGAATCCCTGTCATTGATTTTCAAAACTTGCTTTCTAATGAAGTAGGGAATGATGAATTGACCAAGCTTCACCTTGCTTGTAAAGAATGGGGTTTCTTCCAGGTTATTGCATTTTTGGATTTTTTTTTCTTCTCTTATTTTGTATCGTATATATGAGAAACTTGACAATTGTTTTTGCAGTTGGTAAACCATGGACTTGACTCAAACATCTTGGACAAGATCAAGTTGGATGTTCAAGATTTCTTCAAGATTCCAATATCTGAAAAGAAAAAGCTTCGGCAAAGTCCAGGAAATATTGAGGGATTTGGACACGTGTTTGTTGTTTCTGAGGAACAAAAACTTGATTGGTCAGACATTTTCATGATATCCACACATCCAATTCATGCAAGGAATCCTCACTTATTCCCAAATCTCCCTCTTCCTTTTAGGTCCTTCGTTCTCTCTATCTTTGTTACTCAATCTCTTTAGTCAACTACTTTATTATTCCTTCAATATTCCTTATTTTTTCTTACAGGGACACCCTTGAATGTTACTCAGAAGAAATAAATAATATTGGTGAGACCCTGATTAGACTTATAGCAAAAGCTCTAGAAAGCAAGGAAATAGAAGAATTGTTTGAAGATGGGGTGCAGATTATAAGGATAAACTACTATCCTCCATGTCCTCAACCAGAGAAAGTTATTGGCCTGACACCCCATTCAGATGGAGGAGGTCTTACCATCCTCCTTCAAGCTAATGATGTAGAAGGGCTCCAAATAAAGAAAGATGGTATGTGGTTTCCTATTAAACCCCTACCTAATGCCTTCATTGTCAACATTGGAGACATGCTAGAGGTACCGTAAATATTCTAATTTTCACCAATACCAAATTCATTTTTCATGTTTTTACTATTCCAAATAATTTAATTAAAACAACTCTCGCAATTCCACTTTATAATTAAGAGCATGTTGAGTAAATACCTTCAATTTCTCCATAAACAAACTTCAATTATTGAGTTGAATACATCTCACTTATGGTGCAAGACTATAGGTAAAAACAGCGTGTATGGGAAAAAAGTTTTTTTTTTTCTTTTGTTTATATTCCCAAAATTCTTAATATATTTTCTGTTCTATTTGTGGTCTAACATCCTCGTGGCATTTTTTGTTGTGTTTGCTTATTTTTCATGGAAGATTATAACTAATGGACTATACCGAAGTATTGAGCATCGTGCAGTGGTGAACTCTGAAAAGGAAAGGCTTTCAATTGCAACATTCTGCAATGTGAGAAAAGATGGTGTTATAGGTCCGGCAAAGAATTTGATCAGTGAACAAACACCAGCACGATTCAAAAGACTTGAACTAAGAGAGTATTTGAGGAGTCGTTTTTCTCGTAAACTTGAAGGAAAGTCTCACCTAGATACCTTGAGAATAGAGAATTATGATTGAATTTGTTGAATCCAGGAAAGCAATATTTGCACACATTATAAGCAGTATATGCACAACAAGAAAGGAGTTATAGTAAAATAAGAGTTTATTACTCAATGGATTGTATACATCATTACCTTAGAGGCATTTTTCTCATAGCTTCTTAATTTTATCAGCAAAATGAATTATCATAAAAGGAAGCAAGGGAGTGTCCCAATCCATCTGCAACATAAAAGTTTCATACATAGAAACAGTTCAATTGAACAGGAAAATTAATTGTAACATTGACAAACTTATTAATTAAGGGGTTACTTCAACATGGTTTTTCTCTCCCAATGTTATGTATCTCAATTTTTTATTATCTATTTTTGTGCTAAATATAAAAAATTAACTCAAAAGAAACACCTTACTAGCTTTCTGTAAATGTTTTCTCTAAACCAAAAACTATTTACTAGATATGTCACTACATGTTTACGTGCTATTTCTGTTTCCATCATTTTTTCTCAATTCAACCGTGTTTTGGCAAGTTTGAATTTTCTTATTATAAATATTTTACTTAATATATATATATACCTTCATACACACACATATATATATATATTAATGTTATACATGGTGCATCCTCCTAGCATATTTATTATTTGAATGTGTTAATAATATAACAACTTTTTTATTATTAAATTTTATTGATTTTGAGTGCTTTAAATTAAAAATAAGAAATACTATAACATTGTCATAGTATTACAAAAAAAATATATTCAAAATTTATAAAATATAAGAAGTCATAAAAAATAATTACACAGACACACAAAGGGATAATTTTGTATAATATTTAAATGAATTCCTCTTTTGTATGAAAGTGACAAGAAAAAAAAATATACATCATCATATTTATTTTTCAGAAAAGCTTATGTTACATAAAATATTATTTCTTAATCACAGTATTGTCATAGTCTTGTCACTATTATAATTCTTGTCATTATTTATTGTCATTGTAATCAATTTTATGTTATCGCTTTCACTGTTGCTTTCTTGATTGTGATGATTATCTGTCGTTATTATTATCGGGGACGACAAACAAAGTGTAAATATGTAATAAGTAACTCAACTATTTTAACATGTATCCAATGATATATAATAATACAGTAGTAAATTTTTGTTAAAATTATAGAATTAATTGTGTGACTTTTAACATTTGTCAGAAAATTTGTAAAATATTTGAATGTTTTAGATTTGGAATTTGATATTAAAATTTTAAAATATAAACTATAAAAAACATACTAAAATCATAAAATTAAAAACTGATTTTAATTATTTTAAAATTGTAAAATTCAAGATTGACAATCATCCAAACAGACCTTAAATAATTCACTTTTTTAAAATCTTGGTGCATGGTATTTTATACATTTTGAAATTATTAATGAAAAATTAATTTAAAATATTAACAAAAATTATCAGTTATCCTTTTATTGGACATCAATTTACCACTCAAAATTTTTTTCATACACAATAACTCAAATCTAAAACCTTACTTAAACTATACTGAACGGCTTACTTTAATCACTCAAAATTTTTTTCATACCTAAGACCTTACTTAAGTTATATTGGACTGCTTACCACTCGAACCAACTTATGTTAGTTTATTACTCAAAAAAAATTTCATACACAAGAACTCAAATTCAAGACTTTGCTTAGACTATACTGAACCGTTTGTCACTCAAACTAACTTATATTAGTTAATCAATATATATTTTTTATCAGATAAAACATTTTTCATATTATATTATTACTATATTAGATTTTTATATGTACTTCGTTTTTTTTAATAACTAAAGACTTGCATATTATGATTGGGAAAAAAAAACTGAAAACGATTCAAAATAGAATCATCGTAATTTGCTATTATAACTTTAAAAAATACATAAAATATAATTTAAAATTAAATATTTAATATTTCATAATAAAGATATGATACTGTTTTTTTAATAATTATATAGACTTGTGTAATATAAAAAATGAAATTTTAAAACTCGTTTGGCGATCGTATAATAGGATGATAAAATTAAACAAAGATGTGATATAATAAAAGTAGAAATCTTATCTTAGATATAAATTATAATAGTAGATGAAATGGCATTCTATCATAATCGTCAATATTAGATATGATTAAAAAAAATAAAATAAGGATACATTATATTGAAATAATTGAATTACTATTTTATTAAATTAATATATTTTTATATTTAATTCTAACTTAAATTTTTAACTTTTTAATAAAAATATATATTAAAAAATTAAAAATAAAGTTATGAATGAATAATAGTAAAATTTTGAAATTAAATTACAGTACTTCTCTTAATTTTTTCACAGTTAAATTTTTTATTAAATTATAATAAAAAAAATATTATAAAAAAATTGAAATAATATTTTATAAAATGAGACAAATTTATTTTATAAAAAATATTTTTAAATTAGTTTTTAATAAAATCAATGTTCATAGGATATCTTTATCAAAAGTATGAAGTATGAGTAAAAAAAATTCATATCTTGATAAGTTATTATATTATGTTATTCAATAAATATTATAAAAAAATAAAATAGGATAAATTATCATATGTTAGACTCTTATATCAACTACCAAACACTATGTAAAATTGTTTTATTTGGTAATTCATCTATTAGAATAAGTTAACTATATAACTTAATGAACATTTTGAAAAAAAAAAACAATAAAACAAGGCATAAATTAATTATTTTTTCACCTATGAGGATAATATTTACAATAGGCTAATAGAATAGGATAGGCAACAAGATAAGCTTATATTCTAATAACATAATATTTTTAATGATATCGTAATATAATATCCAATTACTATATTATTCATATAACATAATTAGGTTTTATATCAATATAAATTTGCAAAATTGAATACATACAAGGACATACACTTTATATCGCACAATACTTAATAGGATAATAGATTAATTTACTAGTATGAAAATTAAAAGCTCGATTTTAGCCATCCCTTTACTTCTTTATCAACGGCTAAAACTATTATGGTGGACCGATTCTCTACAAGGAAAAAAACTAAAGTGAGAGGAAGTTAGAATTTGGCACATTTAACCACAATTTTGTATGAACAAAACCTACTTGTGCCACGCATCTAAGTTCTGATTCGTGTTACTCTATTAATAATGGAGAAAAGGGAAGTTCACCTCTATTTTAACTTTATTGCAGCTGCATGTGCATTTTTGTTGTTTCCAGTGTATGCAACATTGAATGATGAAGATTATATATCGGCAATTGGCGATTCTGGTATGAGAAGAGATGGTCTTAGAGTTGCAATTGAGTCGTGGAATCAGTGCAATGAGGTTGGGAAAGAAGCACCAAACATGGGTAGTCCAAGAATGGCAGATTGCTTTGATCTCATATTTTGCGAACGTCCAAGTATGTGCCCTTTTCAAAGAATATGATAAAGATATACAGCTCATATAGCACCTTTTAATTTCTCTGTCACATCACTTATTTTATCTTATAGTTTTTTATCTTTCTTATTTGTATGAATTGTTGTATATAGTTATTGTACAACTATAATTTCTCTTTTAAAATAATATAGTCTATAAATGTTTCGTGCATAGTGGGACATGGTGGTCGGAGAAGTATACTTAATTCCTGTTAGCAAAATCGATTGTTTTATATTAAGTATAATTAATTTCAATAAAGTTGATTTTGAGTCATTGAATGCAGTTAATGCATAAATAATTTTAATCACACATTTTGTTTATAATGCATATTTTTCACTAAAAATATGTGAGAATTGATTTTTCAACTTTATATCAAACAAGCCCATCTTTGGTAGGGAATACCTAAATCTTTATATTTGAGCAATATATTTGAGATGCATATAATACAGAAAAGAGAAAAAGTAAGAGATGAAAGCAATGATATAGTGTCACATATAGTATCAGGTTAGTAGTTGAAATAACAGAACTAAAATAGCATATGAAATCTTGTAATTGATGCAAGTAATGCAAACTATATCGGTATAGTAATCTCATGACTTCATTTAGAAAATAACTTCGATATCTACTTCTCTATCTTTTTACACTGACAAGATATATATGGTAACGTGGAATCTAAAAACGTCCGTAGTCAAATTTCTTTTTCCCTTTTCATTGAAGTTGAAGTGTATGGTAATGGAATTTTTTCGGAATTCGGATACTTAATATTTTGATGATCACATGCAGAGAATGTGGACTTGGTTCACAGGGTGCATGAATGGCAGAACAGGCTAGGCATATCAAGCAATTCATCCATTCCTTTGAGTTCATTGAGTACCAACAAGTACGCAGCTATGAAGGAATTATACTTGGGTGCCATATGTGAAGTTTTAGATACTCCAAGGCCATGGCAATTCTGGATGATAATGCTAAAGAGTGGCAACATGGACACCTTAGCTGCAGTGTGTCCAAACAATGGCTTCAAAGCAAAGCCATTCCCACAGTCACCTGATTTTCCTTGCTTTGGAAAAGGGTGTATGAATATGCCTTCAATGTACCACAAGCATACCAAGGTGTATGGAGATGAAAGAAAGATCATGAAGGGAAGTTTCTATGGGTCATGGGACTTGAATGTTGATACTGCAACAGCAGCTAATGTGAATGACACATCTTATTATTCTGTGACTTGGGAGAAGGAAGTGGGTAATGGAAGCTGGGTCTTTCACAATGTGTTGAAGACATCTTCTAAATATCCATGGCTAATGCTCTATTTGAGATCAGATGCCACAGCAGGGTTCTCTGGGGGGTACCATTATGAAACAAGAGGCATGTCAAAAATAGTGAGTTGTTTACTCCATTTACAACTTATTAGTATTTTCTTTATATGCTTGTTTCCAAAGTTAAAAGATTTTAATATAGGTACCAAAGTCACCACATTTTAAGGTAACATTCACCCTTGATATCAAAAAGGGAGGTGGTCCAAAGAGCCAATTCTACCTCATGGACATAGGAAGTTGTTGGAAGAACAATGGGAAGCCATGCAATGGAGATGTCACCTCTGATGTTACAAGATATAGTGAAATGATCATAAACCCGGAAATTGAACCATGGTGCAAACCAGATCAGCTTCAACATTGTCCTCCTCATCATATCTTTGCAAATGGCACCCAGGTTTACCGGACCGACGCCGCCAACTTCCCCTATGACGCCTATCATGTCTACCGGGCTCCAGGCAATGCCATGTTTTTGGAGAAACCAGTAAAGACCTCTGACCCATATAGTAACCCGCAGCCTCAAGAGATACTCCAAATTTTGCCCCACCCGGTTTGGGGCGAATACGGGTACCCAACAAAGAAAGGTGAAGGTTGGGTTGGTGATTCAAGAACTTGGGAGCTTGATGTTGGAAGGCTCTCTCAGTCCATCTATTTTTATCAGGCAAGATTTTACGTTCATTAACTATCTGTTTAGAAACAATCCATGATAAGCAATATTTATCAATTATGAAATCATTATTAATAACTGTTATAATAATACTTAGTATTTGTTGTTAAAAATAATATATTTAATGCAGGATCCAGGTACTAAGCCTGTGGAAAGATACTGGTCATCTATTACCTTGGGGACTGAAATATACATAAGTGGTGTTGGCCACCTAGCAGAATGGACGGTAAGCAACTTTGATATTATTATCCCCAAGCATGCTTACTGAAATTTCAAGATAACAGGAAGTATACTTACAGAACCCTCTAATGTAATACCCAGCAATTCTGCTGGCTATAAGATGGTTTTTATCATCCCATTATCATGTTATCTCGTTTACAGCACAAGATCGTGTGGTTATCACTTTTAACACCCCGTTGGAAAAATTTATTCACCAAACATTGTCGAGATAAAAATTCATTTACCATTTCAAGTTCTTTCATTGTACAATTCTTTCTGTTATGATAAGAGTAGCTGCCGCAGCTTTAGCCGCTTGAATATTTTATATTCCTTTTGTTATTTCTCATCAAATCAATGGCATTGTCTTATGGAAATCGTATTTATTCTTAGCACCATAGATAATATTTACGCCAAGATGAAGACGGGAGAGAAACAATCAATTTTTTATTAATCAATTGAATGATGTACATATAATTACAACGATGGTAATCTGAAAGCAATAATGGAAAATCAGACCTAACCCTTAAATTTGATCAACTTCCTTCCTTCCAACCTCAGGCATAAGGCATATTTATATATAGCACGTATCTCCAAAACACTCAGTGAGTTAAGGCTTTCTCGTCGTTGTTGAATCTCTAAAATATCCCAACCTATGACAATCCATACTGAAAGGACCCTGAATGCCTGTGAGCTGCAACAGCTACTGCAGCAGCACCAACTGCACCAAATTGAGATTGTGCCTGCAACAATTTTGCATCAATAGACGCAACAGGATCATTTATGTGATCACCCTTTCCTTGCTGGTAGTAGGGGTTGGTATTAAGATCAATAGCTGGTCTGGCTGGCATGCTACACTGCTGGGATGAGAGCTGATGTTTTCCTTGTGAAATATCCTTGTATGTTTCTGATTTAGTTTTTGTGTCGGTGGATTGTAACCTATGGAAACAGTGAGGAGAGATTGCTTGAGGAAGAGTATTTCGGTAGAAGATCCTCTGGTCATAAGAGTCTCTCGTGTTTTTCTCATTGTCGTAGTGCGGAAATGGCCCTACAACTCGACCTGGTTTAGCTGTGGCAAGGAAAGAAAAGCAGTTTAATAATGTTATAACAAACAAGACAAAAACATAAATAAACATTAGTACCTAGTTCATATTCAGCTCACATTACAGTGCCATAAGGATTTATGAGCTTTCCTAAGTGTTACTCGTTTTTGTTTCTTTTCTGTTGTTCTCTATTATTGATTCTAAATACTTCATTGAAAGATTTAAGGTAAGCACCACATTAAATATACAGTTTATACCTGCTGGAACCCTTGGTGGAGGTCGTGAACTCCTTAGTTGACTTCCAGAATTTGATTCTACAGCACTCGAAATCTTTGATGCCTTTTCTGGCATTTGCTTGTCCTCGCATGGAACGAAAGATGGCTGCGTACTAGGAGGAATTGTACTACAGTGAACAGTGGACCTTCAAAAAATAAATAGGTGTGTTTATATAACATATCCATCAGAAAATATGTAGTTTAAAAAAAAAAAGGATCAAACTCAACATGTAACCAAATTAGTAGCCAGAAATTAAGAAAGGCAAGGCAACTAAAAACCCAAAGCCTTCCACAGTTAGTGCATGTTAGTCTTACCTTGGAAGGGAGACATGCTTCCTTTCTGGAGGAATCACTGGGCCACTTTTACCATGATTTTCCTCAAGATAAGCAAACTGCTTTCTAAATTGATCTATTGCACTGCAAGGAATATATCTTCGTAAATAATAAGCATTGTAATTACACATATACATGCATTTATGTTACATCAGCAAAAAAGGGTATTAAGCTTTGACCTAGGGTAGATAAAATTAGTGCCTTCAGATCCATTCATGTAATCTTTAAGTAGTTGAGGATGATATTCCAATATTTCCCGGTATATTAGTTCCCTGACATCATCCTTTGTAACCCGTCTTCTCTCAAACTCAAATTCCAATCTTGAAATTGGCTGACAAGAAGGTTCTCTCTCAACTTTGGCCAAACCCTTAAAGAAAGGATCAGCTAGTGCCTGCCAACCAAACATGCAAAATGGTTTCTTTCACATTTATATTGCAAAAAAATATCACTTTGCAAATAAAGATCCCAAAATTCACTTCTCTAGATACTCCCTAAACAGGTTATAACATACAATATTAAAGATAAACTTATACCTCTTGAGCAGTTGGCCGATCCTTTGGATCAAATGCTAAAAGCCTTTGCAGTAGGCGAAGTGCCAATGGATCAGCATTTGGAAATTTCTTTTCAAAAGGCATGGGAGGTTTCTTCCGCATTTCCATCAAGTACTTCCTTGCTTTCTCATTTCGAACCTACATAAATTTGAATAAGTTAGCTGCCAAATGCTCCCCTAAAATAATTTTTCATGAAAGAAACACCATTAACAAGCTCATGAGATGAAGAGAAAGATAAACATAAAAACGAAAGAATGGTCCATACTCCTCCAATGGTTTCAGGTGATGGTGTCCCAAGAAGATCAGTAATCAAATCTAATTGATGCACAACACTTTTACCAGCAAACAATGGCTTTCCAGTCAGCACCTCAGCAAAAATGCATCCAATACTCCATATATCAATTGCTGGTGTATACTGCAAAAATAATTCCAACAAAATCAGAATATTAAAGAAGAAGGGGTATTACACATTCCAACAAACCACTTCACGAAAACAGACAAACCGACACAATTACCTGAAGGACAGATAAATTCAACTTCCAGGAGAGATCAATAGTCCTCCCTGAACAAGAATTATTATAATCTAGGCATTACTGTTTACTATAAAACACACAGAAAGTATTTCATACAGAAATAAGAGCAAAATCTTTGCAAGTCAGGCAAACAAAATACATTTTCAATTTCTCTTTTCTGGGTAGAGCAAACTTGGACTTGTACTACAGTGGAAAGCAAATAATAAGCAAAAGTAAGTATACCATGTTGTTAACATTAAATTGTATGAAGTTTCAAATTATTCTATGCCCAGCTGCCATAGTCTACTATCCTCCATATGCCTAGGTGCCTGGAGTCCTAAAACAGTTTTTCTGGAAAACTTTACTACATTTCCCATTATCAACAATTTCTCAACTTTTATTCCATCCTAGACATAAAACATGAACATGATACTCAACTCCACAGCTCTACCTTATCTCAAACTACAAATTGCAGTTAGATTATATCCTTCAGATTAAAATTTACAGAGGAATCACCCTATCATAAGAGTATTCAATCAAAAACCCATGCCTCAGACAAACAAACTGGTCACACAAATATGCAATGATGAATAGCACTTAAGATATGCCAAGAAATATATTATTTATTCAACACATCTAAGTAATAACGTTAATAAAGTAACTTGTCGTTGAAAAGAAGCATAGATAACCCCCATAGCATCTGCCTTAAAACACAAAATTTAGCTAAACTATACCTTAGAAAAGAAAGATCCACACAGTTCTGGGGCTCTGTACCATCTTGTAGCAACATAATCCTGCAATAAGCCCCAGAAAAAAGTATGAAAAACCCCAATGCTACTAATTGAATGTACAGAAACAGGCATAACTTCCATCTGCTCCATTGCAATTTAAATTAAATAAACCACATTACCGTCCAAAAGGTTGTTGTTGGGGCATCACTGAATGCAACTCTTGCCAATCCGAAATCACAGACTTTGAGTTTGCAGTTTGCATTTGCCAGTATATTCTTGGGCTTTAGGTCTCTGTGATATACATTAGCTGCAACAATACATAAGATCATTTAGAAGCAATAGAGCACATGTTCTACGGAAATATAACAGTTTAACAAGAAAAGCATATGAAGGCCAAAAAATGAAAGAGCAAAGACCTGTATGCATATACTTCAATGCTCGTAGCATCTGATAAAGAAAAAACTGATGGTGTTCACGGGTCAAGTCATCATTAGCTTTGATGACTTGATGGAGATCAGACTCCATGAGCTCAAAGACTACATAAATATCCTTAAATTCCCTCTTTGACGGTGGCAACATGATCCGCTTAATATCAACAATATCAGGGTGTCTTAAGAGTCTTAGCAACTTGACTTCCCGGAGGATTCTAATGGCATCAGAGATATGTTCAAAAACATCATGAATCTTCTTTATTGCAACTTTTCCCCCAGTGTGTGTATCAATTGCTGAACAAACAACTCCATAGCTACCCTTCCCAACAACTTCAAGAATCTTGTATCTGTTGGCATCCCCATGCTCAGTGAAAAAGTCTAACTCCTTAATACCCTGCTCATTAACAAATTACACAAACCTTTTATTCTATACAATCCATTACCAATGATTGAAAATAACCAGAACGAACCGGAAAACATCTATAAAGGAACCAAATCAAATTACATAAAAACATAATAGGTTAACAAAATCATTCAGATTGACGAGCAAGATACAAGGCAATTTGACAATTATTATTTAACAAATCATCACTCCAAGCAAGCTACCATGATTGAATGTCTATCAAATACTCAAAAGGAGTCTAAAATATGTAAAATTTCTTACAAACACAAGATAGAAATAACCAACTGCACATAATATTCAATGGCCACTGAACAAGACCAAGCCATAACATCCACCATCAATCAACAAACATTCGCTGTAACGAAATCAATCCAACAGTGATGCACGTTCAAAATTTAATCCACCAAACTAAAACCACCCAAGAACCACCAGCAACAAAAGGCAGAACTTCACATCCAGGAACCAGTATCATAACAAAAAGCAACAATTTTTACAACAAATGCCTCAGCATACTCAAATTTTGGCCGTTATTTCACCCCAGTTCCAAGTTTTTAATTTTTTTAAGACTTTCGACTGTCAAGTTAGTTTACAGCACCGTAAAAACTCTGGAATTGTGAAATCGGAGAAAGAAACAACCTTCTTCGGCTGATCTTGCTGCATCTCGTTCTTCTTTCTTTCTTCTTTCTTTCTGGGAACAGATCAAAGCGCAAGCAATGTCACAGCTACCTACCTTGCCGTTCACTTCACTCACCGCCAAAAAAGCAAAACCCCAAATCGAAGATCAAGCTCCAACTTCAAAATTCAGCACAAAAAGAAAAAACGAACCGGTTAACCAGCAATTCAAGGCTCCAAAAAGGAGTGAAAACCCTAGAGCGAGAAGGAGAAGAAGTTGCGGGTGTAGCAGAAGCAGAAATGCTTTGCTTCAGATGATCTGAGCTCAGCGCGGGAGAGAGAGAGAGATCCAAAGGAACGGGAGAGAGACAATTGAAAAGAAGGTGGGTCAAATTTTCTCATTCTATATTTATTTATTTGTCTTTTCATTAAAATAAATGTAAGTTTAAAAATACAAATTTTCTTCTTGTAATAGCACCGTACACCCTGCACATTATTGAAATATGACCATTAATTATTTTATTTTATTTCTTAGTTCGTAATACAATGTCTTGTTTAAGTTATTTTTTATAAATTTTTTAAAAAAAATATGTATTCAAATAACCGAAATTTTGCCATATATTTAAATAAGAAATTATTTAAAAATTTTAAAAATTAAATTTTGATAAAATAAAAAAAATTTAGAATATATGTTACTAAAGTTTTAAAGAAAAACAAAATTTTATATTATGAAGAAATATTATATTTAATTGATAAATTTTGAAGAAAAGAAAATTCTAAATTTTATATAAATATTATATTTCAAATGATAAAGTTTGAAGGAAATAAAATTTATTAAGTTTGATTAACTCAATTTATAAAAAATATGATTTAAGATTTTAAGAGGAAAAAATAATAAAAGAAATATTTTTATTAAAAAGAGTTAATTTTATTTTTTTAGTAAATATTTTTACATTTATGAACTGTATTATTGAATTAAAACAAATATTTTGAATAAAAATTAAAGATATATTATATAATTATTTTAAAGTTAATAAATTGTACAACTTTAAAATATTAATTTCTTTATTAATGATACATATTTTATTATATTAAATAAAATAAAATTAAAAAGCTAAAATTATAAAATTATAAAATAAATGTATAAATTAAATGAATTTGAAAAATAAAAATTCGATATAAGAAAAGTTACATATTACTCTTAGTCGGTAGGTATTTGTTGGAAGACATTACCATAAAAACAGGAGTTTGACTATCGATAAATAATATAAGAGAAAATTAAATTAAAATTTTTTCATGTAAGATAGTTTTTAAAAATATTAGTTTAAAAATAAATTCAAATTTAACATATAGAAGTAAATTTTACAATATATATATATATATATATATATATATATATATTTAAAGGACTGAAAATATATTTAATTGAAACATAAAAATAAAATTATATAATTAAATGTTGAAATAAGATACATCACTCAGCACATATAACATTTTTCTATTATTTAAATGTTATAAGTTATAATTTTAACGTTTTAATTTTGAGGTTTTTAAAAACAGACTTTATCATGATTTTGTCTTTAGTTAGTAGCTCTTTTTTTGCGGCTATTGTTTAAGGGGTTCAGATTTTTTCTAATTTTAGTGTAAATACGATAGTTCAATCCAAATTCACTTAAATAAGTTAAATTTCATTTAAAAAATTTACATTTAATGTCATATTAAAGTTTTAAGTGATATGTCATCAAAGTCCTCTTCATATATATTTTGCTTCAGTAAAGTTTAATTTGTTTAAATAAATATTTATTATATTGTGATGTTTGCATTAAAATCGAAAAGAATTTTAACCCTTTTTTAAAATAATAAAAAAAATCAATATCAAGTTTATCTTCGGAAACATGACTACTCTCTCTAATTATTTTTATCAGGAATAAAATAAAATATTGTTGTCATAATATATAAAAATAAAATATATTAATTATTAAAAAATTTATATCTTTCTTTATTAATAATTATATATTTATGATATTATAATTATATCATTTACATTATTTAATATTATAATTTTTTAAAATTAAAATTTATATTTATAAATTCAGGTCGAATCTAAATTAAATTAAATAAAAAATATAAAAAATTATATTTATGAAGTTATAAATATTTGTTGATCATGATAATTTAGTTTTTTTTTTTAAAGGATAAAAATATACTGTAAGTTTCTATTTTCAAGAGAGTTTTTAATTTCTTATAATAAATTTGCACAACTTCATTTTAAATATTATTTACAATAAATGGGAATGAAACCATAAATCAAGATTAACGATTAGACAAAATAATAAATAAAAAGCATTGACATTTTTTAATTATTAACTAAAATTTATTAAAAATGATATAAATTTTACCCTTTATATGAGTATTTCTCTGATAAAAAACTCTAACTTATAAACGTTGAAAATCATAGGAAGTATTTATGAGGCGTTAAAACTCTTGAATGTTTTACACAAATATTAATGCGTAAGTTGGTTGATTAAGGTACCTCACCTCACCATCTAACTGTTTGAAACTTGAACTAGTAGTAATCTTTACTTTAGTTACATCCAATCAACGCATAACATTTGTAGTTGCTTGTTACTTTTCTAAACACGTGTAGATCACCCACCACACTTTGCATACATAAAATCTAAATGCTGTTCAAAGATAATTGTTAGACTTTTATAGCCACTACTTCCTAGAACTTGCGGGTCCAAATCTTTCTATTATTCATATATTCTATATTCTTATATGCTTAGTTCTCAATACAAATTCCTTCTTAAATTATAAAAATACATACTTTTTAAACAATTGAAAATATTAATCAAATTTATTTAGTGTTTTTTAACATGTATCGTACACTTTTAAAAAAATGAATTATGTAAATGGCTGAAATGTATGTTTAGATTGAATTAATGGAGCATTTTAAAAAATATAAGAAAACACTATTGAATATTTGTCACATTAAAATCACCATGAATAAATTTTTTAGAAGAAAATAAGTTTTCTCTTTCAAATATTATGATGTGGAATATAGAATTATGAAATCATTCCTTGAAAAAAAGTAAATATTTAAATAACTAAATATTAATATTGTCTGTGATGGTATGGTAATCAGTAAAAATAAGAAATATGAAATAAAATATTCAAATAAGGATTAATATAACATTGAAAGAAAGTGAAGATCACAACATTTGTAGGACCTATATAGCAAAGAAAGAAATCAAAATTTCCAACGTCAATTACCATAAAACGTATGCAAATGACGATATCAATTTGGGACTTTACGAAGTCATGGGTGACATACCCAAACCAACCCTACATAATGGACGGCTCATGCTCCATTAGTATTATTTTATTACTATAATATAGCACCTAACTTTCACCATCAATGGTACCGTATGCTTGCATTACTTAGGCGTGACATTGTTAGAATGAATATGATTAATTACATCACACTATTTATCTTTTATTAAAAATTTATAAATGATTTTTCTTTCCATTGTAATTGGAATTGGGGTAGAATTAGGAAAATGTTGCTTGAATCTATGAATGTATGGATAAAATTAATAATGTCTCAAAGGGGCATGATTTATTTTACTGGAGTTATACTAGTAATATTAGTAATGAGCTTTTTTTAGTCAAATCTGCATATAAATTTTTGTTTGCTACTCCCTATATTATTGGGGATGATAACATTATATTTAAGTTCGTTTGGAATTGATAAGATTCCTCTAGAATTATTATTTTTCTTTGGAAAGTGGTGCAATGTAGGCTCCTTACAAACTCTGAAAAGTTTAAGAGAGGTATGTTTGATTTTGCTATATGCTCAAGGTGTAACAATGCTCCTAAATCTATCCCTCATGTCTTAAAAGATTGTTGATTTGCTGAGCAGGCCTGGAAATATTTTATTTTACCTACTAATTGGATTTGTTTCTTTAGCTTAGGACTTTCTGATTGGCTAAAGATTAATTTATCTAAAGTTAACCAAAATAATTTTTCCTGTTAGAATATGCTTTTTGGGGTTCCTATATGGCATTTGTGGAATAAAAGAAACTATGGGATTTTTCAAAATTCTGTTGTCATGCCTGATGTGTTAATCAATAAGATTCTTTATGATTTTAGTTAATTTTTCTTTTTGTGGCAAGGTTAAATACAAAGTTTGTTCTAATTTTCTGAATCTTCATAACCAGATCAGGTGATACCCTCCCTTTGCAAGGCAATTTAAGCTGAATGTGGATGGATCTGTCTCAAAATTTGGGCTTGTTGTTGGATGTGGAAACTTAATCAGAGATGCTAAAGGAGATTTTGTGGCTGGATTTCAAAGTAGTTTAGAAACTTGTGAGACCCCTAGTTGCTTAGTTATGGAGTTTTTTTTGTTTGAGGAATCAAGCTTGTTCTCTAGCAAGGTCTTAAGTTAACATGGATAAAAAATGATTGTAAAGAAATTGTGTCTCTGATTTTGAATATACAGGATTATAATCATTTTTTGTTCCTATTGATTAATAGTATTAGATTGTTAATAAAGAGTATCAATTGTATTTGATTAGTTTCTCTCCTAGGGAGGCTAACCAAAATGCAGATAAATTAGTCAAGGCTGGTTTAGAGGATGTTCACCTTTTTCTTTCTTTTTATAAAGCCCCCTCTTTTTTGTGACTTTTTGTCAGCAGGGATGTTTTGAATTTCTGGTTCCCTAGAGAGATTGGTTAGTTTTGTCCTTGTTGTTTAAATTTTTTTGACCCGTCTATCATAAAAATTTATAAATGAAATAAAGTCTTCTCCAGATTTGAGAATATTTTAATTTCTATTCAATATATACTGAATATAAAATAAATCACACTAAACTATTGTGTAAATTTACTCTCTTTTTTTTTTTTAATATTCTCTGTGTCTTAAGTTGAATAAATTTAAATTTTATATTAATCATTTACAACAATATTAAATAATTTTTTTATTAAAATAGAATATTAATAATAATATATAAATTTTGTCTCTTAAAAAAACTATTACTCTTATTTTATTTTAGTTTAGTTTTCGTCCTTTAAGATTGAGTGAGAGAAAAGACAAAAGACAAAGACCTTTGGGAGTTGGGAAAGAATAACGTATACCTTGAATAATTTTCTAGTTCTGTTATTTAAATTATTTAAATTAATATGGTATATAACTTTATTGTTTATTCTTAATTTTTTTTTTTGTGTAATAAGTTTTGAATACGTTTTCATAGTAATAAATTTGTTCTTGTTTATAAAAAACAATTGTATATAAATTTGTATATCTGTTTTATAATTATATATTTTAAAAATATACATAAAAAAATAAAAGATAACTAAAAATATATCTATTAAAATATAAAAAA